GGTCCACTTGTGGGGGACGAGTAGTGGGAGATGATGCCTGGACAAGATCCCAGAAGGCTCAGTTCTGCCTTATGACTCACCCCATGAGACCTGGGGAAGACTCTTCACCTGCCTAAGCCTCAGTTTCCCCATCTGTAAGAAAAGATTGAATACATTCAATGGGTCCCAACCTTCTTCTGGGTTGAAAATGGTTTTGAAAGTGATGAAAGTGCCCTGGCTGGTATGCCTCAGTTGGTTGGAACATCATCCCATGGATCAAATGGTGGTGGGTTTGATTCCCAGTCAGAGCATATACCCAGGTGGCAGGTTTGATCCCTGGTCTACGCTAATATGAGAAGGCAACCAGTTGATGTTTCTCTCTCACATCAATGTTCCCCCCTCCCCCTTCCCCTTCCTTTCTCTGTGAAAGCAATGAAAAAAAAAATCCTCAGGTGAGGATAAAATAAAATAAAAAATGAACATGGTGAAAGCTATGGACTTTTTCCACAAAAATAAAAAGCATGCATGCATATCTACATAAAATTTTGATCTTCCAGTTATAGGTGGTTCTGTAGCTAAGGATCCATGGACCCAGACTAGGAACATATAGGCTAGATACCCTGAAAATTCAAGGCATCTGGGACTGTTAAAAATAATAATCAAATAGTTTTGTTGGCCTCTAGAACAGCTCATAAGCACCATTCCCATGCCATTTCTTATATTTAATGCTAAAATCAAGCAATATAATCAGAACAAGCTCCATTCTTATTTTAGCCTAGCATTCCTCTTTGCTGCACTGAAATCCTTTGTACATAGAAGAGATCATGCAACATATAGCATCTCAGGCTGGAAGAAACCTTAAGAGTCATGTGACTCAGTTCCACTTTATTGTCTGACTCTCTGCATATGTCATTTTTTTGCCAGTTGTCATGAGGAAGTGCACAACCTTGGAAATAGACGTTACTATCTCCAGAGAGTGCTGACAAACTCGTTCTAGTCACTAGACAATAGAGGCTCAGTGTCAAGGTACTAAAAGCTTGTAGGTAGCCCAGGGAAAAAGTTTAGGACTGATACCTTTCAGTGGTTCCAAAAAATGTTTAAGACAAAAGCAAAAAGTGAAAAATGGAAATTAACAATGTTAAAAACAAAGTTGTAAAAATCCTTTCAGAGGCAATAAGCAGAAACTACATTTTGACTTAACATGAGCTGATTCATTTAAAGGTAAGTGTATCCAGGGTCTTCCTAATTCTTTTTTTTTTTTTTTAGATTTTATTTATTTATTTTTAAAGAAAGGGGAAGGAAGGGAGAAAGAAAGGGAGAGAAACATTGATGTGTGAGAGACACATCGTTACCCACATATCTCACAAGCCCCCAACTGGGGACCTGGCCCACAACCCAGGTATGTGCCATGACTGGGAATCGAACCAGTGACATTTTGGTTTGCGGGCTGGCACTCAATCCACTGAGCCACACTAGCCAGGGCTCTAGGGTCTACGTAATTCTTAAATGGTTTGAACTCTGACTAGCATTTCCCCCACAATCCCACTCCATTTTTACCTGAAATATAACACTGTAACTTATGCTTAAAATGCCTACTTCTCACTCGCTTTTTTGTCAATTAAAAAAAATGGAGGAGAACCCTCTTTCTTAAAAATGACAGTCATTATTTGTAGATGGCTATTAGGTGCAGTTCTCTGATGTTACTGGAAAACATGCTGCAAATTCCTTCACCTGGTCAGTGAATCTATTCCAGTTCGGCCATGTATCTATTGGTTGTGGGTACTGTTTGAAGAGAATGACAATAATGGTGATGGTGGTGGTACGATTTTATTCATATTGTGAAAATTGTGCCCCCTGGGTCTTTGTGGGTCAACTGACTGAACCACCTAATTGATTTTACAGTTTTGGAAAGATGGAGGTTCTACTTCAGAAGGCTGGAAGAGTCCTTCCAAGACCAAGAAAAGAAAAGATAAAGATTTAATCTCCTTGCTGAAGTCCTTCAACTCTTTAGACTAAAACCATTTATCTTCTCATTCAATTTCACATAAGATGAACTAAATCAGTCTGGCCCCCAATAACATGTGTAAAAAATAATATAAATAGAGCCACTCTGAAATGGAGTCAGAGCTGCCTTCCCAGAGAAACTGCCTTGCACACCTTAAGCCTCAAACCTTTGGAGACGGGGTGAAATAACATTTGCACTGGGCCTATAGCAATGACATATCCCAAAGAACTGTTTGCAAAGATGACAAGAAAGCAGAGAAAACTACCAAAGTGAACATTAAAAACATTCTTTAGAATTAGTGTCACTATGTTAGCTTAACTGCACCAATAGAAATGACCTCCTTCTATTGATGTAACTGTACCCCTCCCTTTGTCATTGCTTTGTCCCCTAATCAGAACACTGGGCCTTTGCATGAATCAGCATGTCCCAAATAGTATATTTTTCTTCTTTTTTTTTATCTCAAATAAATGCTTGTTGCCTCTCACTTTGGCCTTTTATTTTTAGGTTAACACGTGGATTAGAGCATGCTCTTTCATAGAATGACTTTTGTGGGTGACTCAGTTCTGCCTCCTCAGTCAGGTTTCTCATCTACAGGGGCAGAGTCTCACCTGGAGCCTAAAATGAGAGGGAGGATGGGATGGACAGATTTTTTAAATCATTTTAAAGATCATTTACCCCAATCATTCTAATTGTTATTACTCTCATAATAACAATATTTTATGTAGCAGTTTATCTTAATGTACACTAATGTTGTTTTTGTAGTTATTACTTCAAATGAATAAGTTATTTATAGTAACAAAAACATGTAAACAACATAAATGTCCAGTCATAAAGGAATGGTAGGATAGTATACAGCCATTAAATGCTATATTTATGAAGAGTATATAGTAATACAAATTATAATTAAATTATTATGTGAAAAAATAATATTTTGTGAAGTAAGATTCCAGCTATGAAGTACAAACAAATGAAACCTCTGTTTTAAAACAAGCTGACAACAATGTTGAAAGTAGTTACCTTCATGTTAAGGTATCTGTTTTCTTCCTAAGTTTTATTTTACTCAACTCCAAAGCTTCTTGAAAGGGAAACTGATTGGTTATATTTCCTTTGGGAAATTGGAGACACCAATGAAGGTGTTCTACACAAGGCAAAATAGCAACACCAAGATCAGAGTTTTTATGTTTCTAGATTTTTATATCTTAATTCTGAATCCAACTCACTCCTTAATTGCACTTACCTTCACCCTAACACACACACAAATAAGTGAAGTAGGACAAGCTTTCCCTGAAGAGCTGTTACTGTCACCCAAGCCCACTCACATTCTTCAAATGGTAATGAGCCACATGCCCCATTCACTGCCTTTTCCCTGAAGGTCTTGGTAGGTGGGAAGAAAGGAGAATTTCTTCATAATCAAATTATCTCTTAAAGCAGTGCCCATTCTCGGATGATCAGTGCAGTGAGCCCACCACAAAGCCCAGATTATCAGACACCATCATGACTCAAACCACATAAAAGTGAGGGCCAAAGTCAACTTTGGGCTCAGAGAATTTTGTCATGTTTAATTACAGTGTAGTTTTTTTTTAATAAAGATTTAGTAGAACTTTAAAAGCGAGGTGTCACCTGGCTAGCTCAGTCAGTAGATCATGAGACTCTCAAAAGTATGGTAGTCAAGTATAGACAGGTGGTGGGGAAATGGGAGTGTAAATTTAATAGAGTGCTTTGAAGGGTCTATTCAACCTGAAAACAGCACACCCAATGGCACAGCGATTCTTCTTCTAGTCATACATCCTGAGAATCATCACATGTGTACAAGCAGACGGTCAAGGATTTTAATTATAAAAAGGTTAGTTTTTATGAGTAATTGGAAACTACAAATGTCTTTCAGTAGGGGAATGGATACGGTTTATAAGGTGGAATTTCTACAGCAGTTAAAATTGGTGAGCCAGATAGCATATGGGTCAATGTAGACATATCAACATGTGGATAAAAGAAATAGATCTTTGAGGTTTTAAAAGAAGTATCTATATACTTATAGTTCTCATAAGAATAAATCAAAAACATGTTTAGTGAAAAAAGCAAGCTTTAGAATGACATCTGAAGAATGATACCATTTCTATAAAAATAAAAGTAATAATAATAATAGCCCTGGCTGGGTAGCTCACTTGAGTGAAGCATCATCCCGTACACCAAAAGGTTGCAGTTCAATCCCTGGTCAGGGTGCATACCTAGGTTGAAAATTCAATCCCAGTCAGGGAGCACACAAAAGACAACCGATCAATGTTTTTCTCTCACATCCATGTCTCTCACTCTCTCTCTCTCTCTCTCTCTCTCTCTCTCTCTCTCTCTCCACCTTACTCTTAAAATCAATAAACATATTATTGGGTGAGGATTAAAAATTAATTAATTAATCAACAAACTATAGCTATACATTTTGGTAAGTGCAGATATATGTATATAATAGTACAAGAACATTCTAAAAGGTAACACTTTAAAATGATAACAGGATTAACTCTAGGGAAACACAGAGGGGACTGGGAATAGGGTGAAAAAGGTAAAAAGGGATTCCAGCTTGTTAGTGATATTCTAATTTTTCAAAGATAATGCCTTCCAGTGTTACTTTTGTGTTTTCAAGTCCTTTCCAAAGTTCTCATCGAGTAGGGCCCTTCGGGAAGAAAGCGTTTCCTACAGCACCACACCCACTTTCCTACTCCTTTCCCTCTACCCTCAGCACACCCAGCACACCCCTCAACCAAGTTCACTGGTGCTGTGAGAAAGTGCCTCAAAGCCACTGCTCACTTTCACAACCCTCCTAGGGCCCAGACCAAATCACACTGGCAATGAATGAGTCTTTGCAGAAAAAGTTATGTCAGAAAACAGGTGGTGGAAATGGCTTTTTCTTCAAAACGATCCCATGATTTTTATCCCTTTCCTGATGATTTTTAAGAGCAAAGTTTTTTGGAGTTTGGCACCAGCCAAACCAAATGGAGAAAATAAGGCAACTCCCCACATTTCATACCTGTCAAAAACCACTGCAGAATAAGCCCTCTCAGCAAAGATGACATCTGCGGCCCAGAACTCCTTAGTGGCCTTCAGACCCCTGCCTTTGCCTTCAGAAGTGAAGACCTCCACATTCTCCATTTTCCCTATTGTCATCTCACAATCTTTCAGGCAGCACCGCAGATATTCAAAGCCAAGCCAAGGCTCTTGTCGTCGCTGCTATTTTAGCACCTTCAGCATCCCAAAGAGCAAGCCTATAAATGGATAAGCCACCTCCCCTTCCCCACCCCCTCTGGTCACTGGGCCCTCACCTCCCCCTCTGCCACTTTTCCTGGAGGCAGGGATGGGGCACACAAGAGGACAGTGATGTGGGAAGAGTCCTATTCATCAGCCAGCAAAGCTGACAGAGCCGAGAATGACCATGGGCTGGTGTGGCTCTGGGACTGAGTATGCAAACTTAAAACGTTCCTTTGCAAGGAAAAGCTCAGTCTTGGATGGCAGTCATGCTCAGCTTTAGTTGGAATAGGGAGCACTTGTTCAGTAAGGTATTTTTAGCATCCAGATGCCTCTGTCAATCCAAAGTAGACAGCTGAAATGGTCCAGGAAGAGAGGTGATGCCTGCTGCTCTGGGTCCCTTCATCTGTCAGACTTACACTTCCTCAAGTGAGGTGGCCCCTTATCCTCCTGTTCCCTCCCCCACAGTAGACTATTTTCAGAAAGCAAAAGGTGGATGGCAGACATTGAGCCACCCCTCTGGCATTCACCTAACAGTACTATTCAGACTCCAAGGGGCATCCCTCTTCTCTAGTATCACTTGGGGTTCCCACAGTACACCCTGCAGGGCATAGAAGTCTGGGGATTCCCTGATAATGCAGGTGTGCTGGGTGCAGGCTATCTGAGGAGAGGCAAGTCTTGAAAATAAAAGCCCTTATTTCTATCTTGCTATCAAATCTTCAACACGTGCTTACTGCTAGGAAAATAGCCAGGTGCTCTGTGCTTCTTACCCAGCAGTGAAGACACTGGAAAGACAATTCTAAAATCTGCAGTGAACTAAATACCAATTCCCACTTGGATTGAAAAGAAAGGCACTTGCAGGTCTAGAGCTGTGGCTTATCTTCCATGTAATATTTTTAGTTCCTGGGATGCATCTATTTCTGGGAACCCTGTCTCTGTCTGGACCTCTGTGAATGTGGTAATTCTCAAGCACTAACTCCTAAGTCAGATCTGCACTTGAATTCTAAACCTACTACTACGACTTTGAGATTGAACCTGTGAGACGAGGATAATAATTTCTCTCTCTGGATTGTCATGAGTGTTGAAGGTGGATAATGGACATAGCACAGAACTTGGTACTTTTTTTTCAATTAACTTTATTTTATTTTTTAATTATATTTTATTGATTGTGCTATTACAGTTTTCCCAATTTTTCTTCCTTTCCACCCCCCTCCACCCAGCACCCCCCAATCCTTCAGGCAATCCTCACACCATTCTTAATGTCCATGCATCATTCTACCTTACATCCCATGGCTAGTCTGGAATTAACTATTTGTACTTTTTTTTTCTTTCAATTTTTGCTTTATTTTTAAGTATTTTTTATTTTGTTAATATCGTTGATTGATTATGCTATCATAGTTATCCCATTTTCCCCCCTTCACTCCCCTCCACCCTGCACACCTTTCCCACCCACATTTCCCCCCTTTAGTTCATGTCCATGTGTCATACTGATAGGTTCTTCAGCTTCTACATTTCCCATATTATTCTGACCCTCCCCCTGTCTATTTTCTCCCTACCATCTATGCTACTTATTCTCTGTACATTTTCCCCCTCTCTCCTCCTCCCACTCCCCTGTTGATAACCCTGCATGAGATCTCCATTTCTTTGTTTCTATTCCTGTTCCAGTTGTTTGCTTAGTTTGTTTTTGTCTTTGTTTTAGGTGTGGTTGTTAATAATTGTGAGTTTGCTCTCATTTTACTGTACTTGTTTTTATCTTCTATTTCTTAGATAAGTCCCTTTAACATTTCATATAATAAGGGCTTGGTGATGATGAACTCCTTTAACTTGACCTTATCAAAGAAGCACTTTATCTGCCCTTCCATTCTAAATCAAAGCTTAGCTGGATAGAGCAATCTTGGATGGAGTGCCTCGGCCCGCGAGGCAGTCAACGGGGTCCGCCGATATACCTGCAACGGATGAAAAGGGATGGGACAGGAGGCGCGAAAGAACGACAGCAAGTCAAAGGATTCTGATCAAGCTGCAAGTTTTATTTTTAAAATGGAGGGAGTTATATAGAGGAGGGTAGAGGAAGGCAGATAGGGGAAGTAGCTCTGGTTGGTAGCTTTGGGGCGTGCTCTTAACTGGGATAGGCTAGGGGGGCGCATGATAGGCGCGTGATCAAGGCACTGATTGGTGTGCCGCCCGTGTGCTCAGGCTAGGCACCTACAATGTTTCTAATCGCAGATATCCTGTTGTGCAGGAAACTTCTGACCACAGATGTCCTGTTATGTACGCGAAATTTCCATCTCTGGCTGCATCAGCCTGCTTTAGGCTTATCCCTGCCCCCAACAATGGAGGTCCTTGCCTTTCATGACTTGGAATACTTCTTTCTGGCCCCTTCTTGCCTGCAAGGTCTCTTTTGAGAAATCAGCTGACAGTCTGATAAGAACTCCTTTGTAGGTAACTGTCTCCTTATCTCTTGCTGCTTCTAGGATTCTCTCCTTCATTTTAATCTTGGGTAATGTAATTATGATGTGCCTTGGTGTATTCCTCCTTTGGTCCAACTTCTTTGGGACTCTCTGAGCTTCCTGGACTTCCTGGAAGTCTATTTCCTTTGCCAGATTGGGGAAATTCTCCTTTATTATTTGTTCAAATAAGTTTTCCACTTGTTGCTCTTCCTCTTCTCCTTCTGGTACCTATAATTCAGATGTTGGAATGTTTAAAGTTGTCCTAGAGGTTCCTAAACCTCTCCTCATTTTTTGAATTCTTGTTTCTTCATTCTTTTCTGTTTGGTTGGTTGTTTCTTTCTTCCTTCTGGTCCACACGATGGATTTGAGTCCCAGTTTTGTTCCCATCACTATTGGTTCCCTGTACATTTTCCTTCATTTCACTTAGCATAGCCTTCATTTTTTTCATCTAATTTGTGACCAAATTTAACCAATTCTGTGAGCATCCTGATTACCAGTGTTTTGAACTGTGCATCTGATAGCTTGGCTATCTCTTGGTTGCTTAAAAGTATTGGCTCTGGAGCTTTCATTTGTTCTTCTGTTTGAACCATCTCTCTCTTTTTATTTTTTTCTGGTCTGGTCATGCTTGTTACATATGAGGGGCAGAGCCTTAGGTGTTCACCAAGGCCAGGCAACCCAGTTGCTGGGTTGTGACGTTGTATGTGGGGGTGGGGTCTAAGAGGGAACCATGGCGCTTGCTCCTCTCTCTGTCGGATTTCAGTCCCCTCTGCTGCTTCCCACTAGCAAATTGGGTCCTTCTGGTGCTGGTTCCCCAGTGAGTGGGCTTCTGTATGTTCCCAACAAACTCTCCTGTGAGGCTGTGAGTCTCTCCCAGCACTTCAATCCCCACAAGTGTTTTCAATCAGTGCTTTTAGGCTTTATTTCCTGGCACTGGGTCCCTGGGTTGCACAGTCTATCTCATTGCCTATTTTCACCTGGTTTCTCTGCGTGCAAATGTGTGACTGCAGACAGCCAGCTGCCTTGCGTGCCTCACTGGGTCTGCTCGTTGCCTCCCTGCACTCGGGGTCTGCCACCAGGGTCTGTGAGCCGCCACCTGTGTGCCTGGGTTCTGCCAGCCACCGCTTTTTCCTGCCGCAACCCCTCTCCACAGGCCTCCAACTCTGCCCCTCTTACTGGTCTGGATGAATGGTTGTCGGACTTCTGTACAGTTCAATTTTCTGTCCGTTCTGGTTGTTTTTTTGTTTCTGAATTTTTGTTGTCCTTAATTTTAGCTGTGCAAGGAGGCACAGTGTGTCCACCTATACCTCCATCTTGGCCGGAAGTCTCTCTCACATTATTTTAATGGCAACATCATTTGTAGCATTTTCTTTCACTTATTTTTTTATTTCTATTTTATTTTATTGACTTTAGAGAGGGAAGAGGGAAGGAAGAGAGAGGGAAATGTCAATTTGTTGTTCCATGTATTTATGCATTCACTGGTGGATTCTTGTACATGCCTTGATCAAGAGTTGAATCTGCAACCTTGGTATATCTGGATGAAGCTCTAACCAACTGAACTACCTGGCAAGAATGGCCCCTCCCCATTTCTAAAATGCCCCCTAAGTGGTGCAACTTGCCTCCATTGAGAATTACTGTTCTTGCTCAGCAGAAAAATCACATCTAGAATTTTGAAAGGATTTCTTACTGCACTACTGAAGATGTTGAACCAGAGGAAAAAAAAATGCAGGAAAAACATGAATGCTTTCTTCAATGAAGTAGGCAAGAAGTAGATTCATTTACATTTCCTGAGAAATGAAAATAGGTTGCCAAAATAGACATGACCTTGGGATGTAGACTTGAGCTTCACAATATGTAGACCTTCATAATATGTTTTTGTTGAGCCCTTTTTCTCTCCAGGAAGATGGGAAATTTTTCCATTGTTAATGATTTTAATAGCCATCCAGTCTCTTTCTTTTGTGTGTCTGGATCAACAAGGAGGAGAGAGGGCTGACCTGGGAGATTTCAGACAATGGGAAGACAAGGATGACCACTATGGTTCTAACTACCTATATTCCAGCCAAACATCCTGACACCTCAGCCCACATACACATGCCAAGCACGTTACTAGGGCTACTGAGTACTCCCACACCCTAAAGAAGGTATGAGGCAACTGCTGCAGGACAAGCAAGGATAATCCCAGGTCCCCAGTCACGCACCTCAAGGGTAAAAGGAAGTGACATGAAAAGGCCAAGAGTGGGGCTGTTTGGAGAGAGTCATCATCACAGGATTAGACATGGGCTTCAAGTATCCTCTCACAATGAGCTTCCAAATCTTTAACCATAACCTGTATTCATATTACTATTATCCTGACCTGTGGAAAAAATACTACCAGAGGCCTTAAGAGAGTGATTGCATTCTCTTCAGTCAGATATGTTGTAATTCAAGGAATATGTACAAATAAGTGTGAAGGTAGAGACATAAATGAAGTCCACAGTGATTGTGATAAGTTTTGAATCACTAGGGCCGTATGTGTGCCTATTAATGCAGCAGCATCTGATCTATCACACCCTGGGAAAAACTCCAGTCACCTGCTCCACTGAAAGACCCACTGTGATTCCCACCCCTGCAGGCACCACCACCTAGTGACAAACCAAGGGAGCTGCAAGGTTTTAAATATTTTCTAAGGCCTGATTTAGTAAAAGAACTGCCCTTTATACTGGTTGTGCCTACATTTGTACCTGGAGCAGGTGCATTTAGGCCAGGACCCATGAACTAAGTTTGCTTTGTACCTCTTTAATGGTTATGGGGGAAAATCAAGAGACCATTTTGTGACATATGAAATTCAAACTTCAATGTCCATAAATAAAATGTTATTAGTGAACAGCCATACTCACTTGTTTACATATTTGCTACTATGGCTTCTTTCACATTATAACAGCAGAGCTGAATATTTCCAACATAGGCCATACGGCCCACAAAGATGAAAATATTTACTATCTGGCCTCTTACAGAAAATATTTGCCAAACCCTGCTTTATAATAATAACAGCTTAATGTCTGACAGTGTTAAAAAGGCTAGGAGTAGCTCACTGTCCCAAATGCATTCACTGGCTGTTTCATCCATTCACTTCAAAATCACTGTGAGTGACAAGACCAAAGAAAAAGTACTGTGCATATCTAGCACTCATGTTCCAGGATGACATGGGCAGGTTCCCTCCTTAATGGTCCACTAAATTTGTATAATTACATCATTGACAACATTTACACTCTCTGGTTTTTGTGTTCTTACCAAAGTATTGTGCTCGCTTCCATCTTTCTTCCTTTGGCACCAAGAAATTCTTAGCTACCAATTGCTTTCCTTCCAAGAATTCCTAAATTCATTCATCCCACACGCAATTATCAGCACATGTATTAAGCACCGTGCTCAGTGAGTGCCTTGATACAAAGAAGAAATGTAGCCTCTGTCTTCGAGACACTGACCATTTAGAGAGGACTGTGGAAGAGCATGAAGATAACGAGGTATCAGAGGCAAAGAGGCAAACATATCCAGAGAAGAAGGGGCCGACAAAGACAAGAAGCGAGGGAGAGAACCAGAACTGGAGGAGATTATTTCAGGCCCAAGGACACAGCAGCATGAGGAGAGATGTATGACATGTGCAGACAACTATAACCTGGGACGTATGGAGGGAGCTACAGAAGCACACATGTTGTACTTCTGTTTATCATTCTGAGACCAGACTATTGCCTTTTATGTCCTAGTGTCTCATATGTATCTCAAAGCTATTCTAACAGCAACAATAACCATTTAAATGCTTAAAATTGTCCTTTCCTTGCAATACTTCATATGCTTTTACAACACCCTATTACAAAGGCCTCTTAGTTAAAAAATCTCCTAACTATAAACCCCAGAGAAACTTTCACATTCATGTGCAAGGAGGTTCCACAAGATCATTAGAGTAGCACTGTCTGTAAAAGCAAAAATGGGAAACAAGCTTACTGTCTATTGATATGAGAGCAGATAGTTCATAGTATTCATATGGTGGAATGTTATAGAGCTATAAAAGTGAATGAATTAGAAACTCACATCTCAGCATACATTAATATAAAAAACAGTGGTTAAAGCAAATTGCAAAGGAATAAACAATATGTATAATAACATTTATGTAAAGTTTTAAATCATGCAAAGCAATACTTTACTTAAGGATACATATGTATAATACATATTTAGTAAAAGTTCAAAGAAATGTATGGGAATGAGATATGCTGAGTTCACGATATATTTACCTCTGAGTGAAGAAGTTCATTAGAAAGCAGGAAGAGGCCCTGGTCGGACCAATGGATGCATAAGTAAGAGCAACTACAAATTGATATTTCTCTCTCCCTCCCATATTCCCATTCATTCTCTCTCTCTCAAAAAAAAAATCAATTATTAAAAAGTAGGAAGAGTACATTCCAGGAAGAAGGAGCAGCATGTACAATAAAGTGAGTTTGTGCAATAACTTGGCATTTACAGGAATCAGTAAAGGTTTAACGTTGCTGGGTCATAATATGAAAGCAGGGTGGGGAAGTGAAGGCCATAGGAAGGTAATGAGATCAGGGAGGTGCATAGAAGCCTGCCAGTATTCACTTTTGACTTCTCAACAGACAATGGAAGCCCGTAATGACTTCTAGGTAGACCCCTTTGGCAACAATATGGGCAGTAGATTGGAATGGTGAAGTCTGAGGAAGGCTATCAGTTATGCAGCCACTGCCATGGTTCTAACAAAAGAAAAGCTGAAATTAGACAGTGGTAGTGTGACAAGAAAGGATATCTAAGAATAACTTGCATAGTGCACCAGGAGACATGCCCATCAACAAGAAAGTGAGTAGAACATTGTACAGCAATGAAACAAATAACACGTTTATACTACAGTTTGAATGAACCTCAAAATGTTGAGCAAAGCAAGTCCCAGAACCGCACAGGGAAAGGTATCTTACTAAATTCAAAAACAATGTAAACTTTTTAAACTATAAATATGTGTGTGTGTGTGTGTGTGTGCGTATGTGTGTATATGGAAGGAAGTGATGACTACAAACCAGGGTAGTGATTTCTTTGGGAGGTAGGGAATAAGATGATGAGATGTGTGTGTATATGTACATTCATGGATATATACACATATTTAATAGCGAGGGAAAGAGGGAGAAGAGGGACAGGGAGAGCCAGAGCAGAAAGAGAGGTCATTTACAGACCAATGATGACAGCATATCATGAATGAGAATTTTGTTTAATCTACTTTGTCTACTAAAGGTTTGACAAAAGGACAGAGAGATAAAGCAGGAGATAATGTATTTTTCAGATGCTGTGGAGGTAATCTGTGGATTCCAGGTTTACTTTTTTTTCCCTTAGTTGGCTGCAGATTCACTCTCAGAAGGGCAAGAGCTCCCACGAGCTTTTCCTTGCCTCCAATAGGAGGGTGGGAAATTGGGTAGAGAATACGAGGGTACAGCCGTATTAGAGCGGAGCCCCGGAAATGGCGGGCGAAGGGGCGGGGCAAGAAGGAAGGCGGGGCTAAGGGGCCTTTCTTGGGGGGCGACTAGCGCAAGCGCATTAGCTCGCCTTTCCGTCATGGCGCAGGGGCGGGCCAGTCAGCCGCCGGTGGTGGCGGCGACTTCCCCTCAGGAGTCCCGGTCTCCGCCTCCTCCTCTCACCCCGCCTGTTCAGCGGCGGAGGCAGTGGTGGCGGCAGCGGCTGTCCTTGCCTCTCCGCCATCTCCACCTCGGCCTATCCCCCGGCCGGCGGCGTTGGCGGGGAGGGGGACAGTAGTTGTAGACGCCCGCCCTTGCCTCAAAGAAGGTGAGTTCCCGCCCCGGCGGCGGGGGCGGCCCCGCCTTCAGCCCCTCCACTCCCCGGCCCAGTGAAAGGCCCTGCGCATCAAGCCCGCCGGCCGCGCCCCGATGTGCAAAATGGCCGACCCGGTAGTGGTCCGAGTGCCTCCACTCTTCTCACCACCCGCCGCCGAGGAGAGGGGCGCCTAGGGCCCCAGGTGGCGTTTGGAGGCAAAAGGGACGCCTCAGCGTGCTGAGGAAGCCGAGGTGTGAGTGAGAAAGAGGTGGCCAGGTAGAGGCCGGTGGACCTGGAGTGCCAGGGAGGCTGGGGCCTTGATGAGGAAACTCAAGATTGAGGGGTCAGAGATACGGAGATAAAAGGCCCGAGCCGTGGAAGGGAGCACATCTCCGTTGGGTGGAATCCGACACCTGGAAAACAGAAACCTCACAGTAGGATAATTAGGGAGAAGCGGAGTTAGGAATTTGGGGACAGTAGGACGTAGCATCTGGGAGAAGGAAGGAGGGGCTCAGGTTTTCGAGGGACCACTTTGGAGAAGTTTCCCTGGCTTTTTGAGGATAACACCCTATTAAAACAAGCTTTTAAGATTACAGGCCTATCTAAAACTCTGAACTGAGCTTTAGTATGTACCTATCAAAGTCAAATAAAACAAAGCCGGACATCAGAAGGATGAAAACATTTTATTCAGCAACTAACAGTAGGGAAAAGCGCTGAGCTTCTTTCGATTTACGCAGACGTGACTGGGCGTTTGAAAGGGAAAAGGAAGGCGTGGGGAGTAGAGTCAAGTAGACTCGGAGAAGTGGAAATAACGAAGGGTTCGTTAGTGTGAATGCGGCTAGCTGTGTCTGCCTGCTGACATTAGGAAATTAGGGTTCTTTCCTGCCACGGTGACTGGGGGACTGAGGCCTAAACTTCCTGATGGTTGCATTTCAAAGGAATGACTTTCAGGTCCTTAAGAAAGAACCCTGAGTTACAGGAGATACCGTACATCTTCAAGGGTCAGAGGAAGGAGTCGTAATTGAAAGCCCTTTTAGACTAGACTAGTCTAGAAATAGACTAGACTAGTCTAGAAATAGACTTTAGACTAGAAATAAGTCTATCATCAGGTGTTAAAACAGTAAATTTCTTTGGACATCCCTGAGTTATCCTAACAGGCTGAAAAGGTCATCGCGGGAATTTCATCTTAGGCCGCTAGAGGCCGTGGTTAAATTTGGTCAAGTTTCTTTGTTGCAGGGGTTTGGAAGGAGTGACCCTGCCAAAAGTCTTTATGGTTCTCACCAACACATTTTCCCTAATACGAAAAGCTATTTCTTGATTGTTTCCATCTAAGAGACGTTAAATTCTTGCAAGACTATCTGCAAACAGCCTGCTTTTTCCAAACTGAGATAAGGCTATAAGGCAGTTTGCGAATGGTTTTAGATGGAGTTTGATCCCACTGCAGAAGATCTCAGTAAAACATTGAGCCAACTTCACTTTAATAATTAACTTCTAGTATTTACTGTATTGCCTTAGGTTGCTTTTTGTCTCCAGAGTGAAAGATGGTGGAAGCCAGAATATCTTAAAATAATTCCTTTCATCTGGAGGGACACCAATAAATATAATAAGCTCATAAAAATAATTTTGTATTTACCCTCCTCCATGATATATTCTAATTTTGTGTGCTTTTCCATAATCTTTTACACCTTTCACTGTGGAGGAATAACAAAGTAGTAAAATATAAATTTCTTAAAATGTTTTGTAAGCATTCTATATAAATTTCATTCACTAAAATTGGAAATTAGAAATTCATTGCAACTAGATGTGCCATTAAGTATCTTAGTGAGGGCAATTTGAAAGACTAGATTTAATGTCTTCAGTCAGCCTGGGTTAGCATCATTTTCTGAGATAAATCTGGATTTTTGGTTTTCATAACAAATATCCCACCTCTCACCAACAAGTAAGCCTGAGCAGTTTATAGGAGTCAAGACTACAGTTCTATTTGGCTGTCATAACCAGATCGTAGGAAGATTTGGAAACAGTTTCTTGTGGAAAAAAACGCTTTTTAGCTGACTTGGCATTTTTGGGGTTTTTTGTGTGATGACTGAATATGTACAGAATTACTAAAGACTTAATGATGTCAGTCCACACAATGCTAGCCAATAACCTTTTATACCACTTCTGGGTAGTATAATGAGAATACTGGAATAGGAGTCTTGACTAGTCATAGGTTCTAGTTGTGATTTCTCCACTAGCTGTATGACCCTATCTCCCAAACTTTTTTTTGAGTTTTGTCATCTGTGGGGAAGAGCAATTGGATTAACCCAATTGAGTACCTGCGGTTTTTCGGACCATAAGACACACCTAAGTATTAGAGAAGGAAAATAGGGGAAAAATTTTTGAAACAAAAAAATGTAAAATATTTAATAATGTAAATAACAATATTTCACCAATGTAAATGTAAACAGAACTCAACAGCAGCATTAACAACCATTATTCCTCCCAAATTGGTGAGGGGGGGCGGGGGGGCATCTTATAATTCAAACAATACAGTAGTTTTAAACCAAAGGTAAACTTGCCCCTGACCCCCACCCCCGAGGACATTTGGCAACTTCTAGAGACTTTTTTGGTTTTCACCACCTGGCAAGGAAGGGCATAGTGAGAGCAGAGGCTACTGGCATCTGTTTGGTATAGGCCAGAGATGCTGCAAACATCCTAAAATGCACAGGATAGCTGCACACACACACAAAACAAAGGATTCTTCTACCCAGAATGTCAACAGTATTGAGGTTGAGGAACTCTGCACTTAACTCTGAGGTCCTGGACAACTTTAAAATTGTGAGCTGACTTATGGTTTTGTGTTGATAATTGTTCCGTGTGTTGGCTATATACTAGAATGGTAATTCATAAAACATGAAACTTTGACCTAGAATGGCCATCAAATAACATTTATAGAGTAATGAAATTTCTGTTGACATAGGATTGAGACTTTTATTCATTAGGATTTGAAAAAATATAATTTATTTCAGTAACTATTCAGTTAACTGTTACCTAACAAATGGTAAATATTTGATATATTATTCTCCTTAAAACACTAGTGAGACTAAATGTATTTTTACTTTAGATATGCGTAAAAGCCTTAAATAATTGCCAATTAAGAGTACATGAACAAGCACATAACTGAAAGACTGCAGGTTTCATTCCTGGTCACGGGACATACATAGGTTGAAGGTTCCATCTCCAGTCCAGGCACATATGGGAGACAACCAGTCTGTGACACTCTCACAGGGATGCTTCTGTTTCTCCCTCCCTCTCTGAAAGCAATGAAAAAAATGTCTCCAGTTGAGGATTAAAAACAAAAAACAAATTTGTTAGAAGATTCTTTCAGGATTTTAGCAATTACAAAAAGGAAAAATTTGTAATATGAGATCTAAAAAAAAAGCTAACTGCAATGGTAAGAATGCAAATAGTGTCCACAATAATCACTGTCTGTGTTCTTCAAACTGTAGAGTGCTACAATCTTTGTAATGAGTAAGTAAATAATACTATGCAAAATAATATTAAAAAGTAGAACTAGCATCAAAATTTTCTGAGGGAAGATTTCTACGACATCCAGAATTTACTACTATGCCTTCTTTCTTTCCTCTAATGGTTCCTATTGCCCACCATGTTCACAGGAGTTTGGTATATATACAGTTAGTTCAAATGCCCAACTATGTTAATTTGTAAGGAATTTCAGGGTATATAGAACACCTACAAGTTACTTAAACACTTTTTCAGACAGGAAGTGAACACATGGAGGAATGGAACACAGAGGAAAAGGAAGGGCAGATGTGAAAGATAATGATAGAATCTGAGTTTATTTCAAAATCAAATTCATGTTTTTGAATACTGTGCTTCTCTACTCTCCACTTCCATTCTTCTGGGTAATAATTATAATAGCAGTAATAACTTTTCTTCCTCTTTGTTATTCTGACCTCACTGGCATGAAAGCCTTAGAATTATCCATGTTTCCTCACTCTTCTACCTTCTCTGTCCCCAACTATCAAAAATTGCTTTCATTCCACCTGTAGAATGTCTTTTACATTCTTCCCTTCTTTTCTGTACTGATTCAGTCCAATAATCTCTTGCCTTCAATACCCTACTTACAATTATCCCCAATTTTGAGTCTCATTTCTTCCTCTATTGACTGCAGAATTAAATTCAAATGCTCAAATAAAGCCTATTAGGATCTGGCCCCATTTTACCTCTACAACACAGTCTTTCACTACCTTCATGCATACCTTGTTTTGGCTAAAGCAGATAAGCCTTTTCTAATGTACTTCCCTCCTCCAAAATACCCTTTCTTTACTAATGGTTTCTTTAAATTTTACCCATCTCCTAAGGGTCAGTCCAAATCCACTCTCCACAAAGCCTTTCTCAAATCCCTCAGCAAGAGGACACTGTACTTTCCTATTCTTATATTACTAACATGTTTTTGTCCTACATTATAGTTCTTTGCTTATCATTTTTACAAAATTATAAATTCCTTGATATTAGGAATTGTCTTATTCCCTTATTTATAATTCTCAGTGGGTGAAACAGCTATGTATATATAATGGAAAGAGTCAAGATAAACCAAAGTTTAAGATCTAGCTCTATCATTTAACGCATGTGTCAAGCTATTTTCTTTGAATCCTGGTGTCTTAATCTTCAAGGAAATTCCAGTTACTTTGCAGAGGTACAAGATAGAATAGTCTATTACCTTGTTTGGCATACAGAAGTCAGTAATACTCATCTTTTTTCCTCTCTTGTTCCACACCACCATGGTATCTTGAAGACAAGCTTTAATTAATAGTGATAAAGTTTAATAAAGCCCAAAGGCATGGAGAACTTGAACTAAGTAGTGCTACAGGATTTGAAAAATGAAGAGATAGAAATTCTTTTTATTTTTTATTTAGCTGTTTTTTTAAATCCTCACCCAAGGATATGTTCATTGATTTTTTGGAGAGAGAGAGAAAAAAAACATCACTGTGAGAGAGAAATATCAATAC